CTGTCGGAGGAAACTAGGAGGAGTGAGGGGCAGCCCGCTGCCGCCCCTCGACACAGGGGACGCAGGTAGGGCCAGGCCCCGGAGGAAGGGGAGGGAGGGACCGGGGAAGACCAGAGACAAGGACACGGGAGGCCATGCTTCGGAGACGAAGCAGGGAGGGGTGACCAAGGCGGTGGTGCCAGAGGAGAGTCTCGTGAGACAGGAGGCGACACGAACAGGGGGCAGACTCAGGACCAGACCTGGACGCTGCAGCAAACACCTGACCTGACGCAGCTACCTGACCAGACGCAGTGACCGGAGGAGACGCAGTGGTCAGTGTGTACAGGCTCGACCCCTGCCGACGTGTAAACGTGGCCAGGTGTCGGCCTGTCCGAGCGTCCGTGTAGTGGGTCACCCGCTGACTCGCAGGAGTGAACTGGTGAACCCCCGCATCCTGTAGGTCAGCACCACTCACCAAGTTCGTAGAGAACGAGGGGAGGTAAAGACCAGACAGGGTGCCAGAGGGGGCCGCCGGACACGGGAGGACAGTGGAGAAGTGAGCAAGGACAGGACCCCCAGAGGGGTCTGCCAGAGAGACTGCAACTGGCCGGCCAAGCGGCGTGAGTGTGGTGCGGTCTCGAAAGAAGGAGCGAGAAGCCCCCGAGTCAAGGGTGAAGGTGTGGGAGGCCGAAGCCGACGCAGAACCTGAGAGAGCAGACTCACCAGCACCTGAGGGAGCAGACGCACCTAGAGCAGCAGCCTCGCTAGCACCTAGAGCAGCAGCCTCACCAGTACCTAGAGCAGCAGTCTCAATGCCCGGGTCGGGCGGAAAACACCGGTAACAGTCACCCTCATCACTAATAGTCACAGTATACATGGCAGCAAGAATAGCATCAAAGTCAAGGTCAAAGACAGCTACACCCGCCCTAGACAGCTCACCCCAGCGGGGGATCTCAGTGGCCTCAGGGAACTGGTGACGCCAAGCGTCCGTCAGGCGGCCAAAGCAGCGCTGGGTGGAGTGCGCACCCCCGCACTGGTCACCCGCGCGGTCGCCGGTGCGGAGGACGTAGGTGCACGGACCAGTACCCCAACCCCTCTGGCGTGCAGTGTACCACTCACGGAGCTGCTGAGGGGAGGGGATGTCACGAGTGCGCTGCTGCTGCTGCTGCTGCTGCTGCTGCTGCTGGCGCTGACCACCACCGGAGCCGACCCTCTGCGCAGCGCCACCCCGACCAGCTCCACCTCCTCCGCCGCCTCCTCCTCCACCGCCGCCATCTCCGCTCCCACCGCCATCGCCGCCTCCGCCTCCGCCTCCACTGCCGCCACCGACACCTCCACCCCCGCCACCACCCCCACCGCCACCCCCACCCCCTCCACCGCCTCCACCTCCGCCTCCACCGCCCCCGCTAGCTCCTCCAGTGCCCCTGCCCCCCTTGCCCTTGCCAGGGCGACGTCTCCCGCTAGGGGTAGACGCCGCACCGACCGACTCAAGCCCAACGAGGTCGGCCGCAGCAGCAGAGGCAACAGAGGGCAAAAGGGGGGAGGGGGAACACCCCTCAAAGATGGGGGTGCGAGGGTCACCACGAGAGGCTCCTACAGCGACTATGCTCTTCTCTGCTGCTAGGAGGGACTTCTCGAGGAGGTCAACGGTGAGAGTGGTGGGGCAAACTGAGAGGAAGTGGTCCGTGACTACGCGAAGGGAGTCAGGGAGCCGGGTGACTATGTAGTAGAGGGTGATGTACATGGGGGGGGGGTTCTTGGCGCAGAACTCAGCAGGAAGCGCAGCGCGGTAGCGAGTGTCACTAGTGCGGAGGTGCGTAATGAGGTCAGCGACTGTGGGAAAGGCAGGAAGGTCAGGGAAGAGGTACGGTAGCATGAGGCGGCTCAGTGCAGCAGTGGCAGGGGAGGAGTAGCGCGCAACTACAGCGTCGTACAAGGTCTGAGCACTCTTGTACTGGCTAAAGTGCGCACGCTCAGAGGTAGGCAGGTGGCGACGCACAGCAAGACGTGCAGCAGCATCGCGCGTGGCCCACTGTGAGCGAACAGTGGCGTCAGCATCAGCAGCGGGGGCAGGAGAGGCACCAGAAGTGAGGTCAAAGAGGGAGAGGCCGTCTGCCCTGTCGCACTGTAAGAAAAGCTGCAGGTCATCTATCCAGACATCAAAGTCAATGGCCCGACCCTCAGCGTCAAAAGCGAGGACACTAGGGGTAGCCATGACAGTAGTAGACTAGCAGCGCAAACAGTAGGGTGAGGGCAGTGCTGTGAAAGGGGCGCTGCTCTTACCGGACAGGGCGGCTCGGGTGGCTCGGCTGCAGGGCGGCTCGGCGGCTCGGCTGCTGGGCGGCTCGGCGGCTCGGCGGCTCGGTTGCTGGGCGGCTCGGCGGCTCGGCTGCTGGGCGGCTCGGTGGCTCGGCTGCTGGGCGGCTCGGCTGCTGGGCGGTTCGGCGGCTGGGCGGCTCGGCTGCTGGGTGGCTCGGCGGCTCGGCCGTTCGGCTGCGACTGCTGCTGCAGAGACGGCGGCGGCTGCTGCCTCAGGGACGGCAGCGGCCGGCCGCTAGGGGCCGCGTCAGGTGCAGGAGAGGGCCGCGTCAGGGGCGGCGTAGGGGCCGCGGCAGGGGCGGCGAAGGGGCCGCGTCAGGGGCCGCGTCAGGGGCCGCAGCAGGGGCCGCGGCAGGGGCCGCGTCAGGGGCCGCGTCAGGGGCCGCGTCAGGGGCCGCGTCAGGGGCCGCGTCAGGGGCGGCGTAGGGGCCGCGTCAGGGGCCGCGTCAGGGGCCTCGTCAGGGGCCGCAGCAGGGGCCGCGTCAGGGGCCGCGTCAGGGGCCTCGTCAGGGGCCGCGGCAGGGGCCGCGTCAGGGGCGGCGTCAGGGGCGGCGTAGGGGCCGCGGTAGTGGCGGCGGAGGGGCCGCGTCAGGGGCCGCGTCAGGGGCCGCCTCAGGGGCAGCGTAGGGGCCGCGTAGGGGCCGCGTCAGGGGCCGCGGCAGGGGCCGCGTCAGGGGCTGCGTAGGGGCCGCGTCAGGGGCCGCGTTGGGGCCTCGTCAGGGGCCGCGTTGGGGCCGCGTCAGGGGCCGCGTAGGGGCCGCGTCAGGGGCCGCGTTGGGGCCGCGTCAGGGGCCGCGTTGGGGCCGCGTCAGGGGCCGCGTAGGGGCCACGTCAGGGGCCGCGTTGGGGCCGCGTCAGAGGCCGCGTAGGGGCCGCGTCAGGGGCGACGTAGGGGCCGGGTAGGGGCCGCGTAGGGGCCGCGTAGGGGCCGCGTAGGGGTCGCGTAGGAGCCGCTAGGGGGGGGGCCGCTAAAAAAAAATTTAGGGCAGGGGCGCAATGCGCGTCGGGCAGCTAAAAAAAAAAATTCGTTATGGTGGGCCCTTAGGAAGGAACGGTCCCATGTAGGAACCCGCTCTATACCATGTGAATTAAGAAAACAGGAATGAGAATGACTAAGGGAAAGTTGGGTACAAATACAAACCCTAGAAAACTGTACCCCATATGTGCTACCCCACTATAGAAAGTTGGGTACAAATACAAACCCTAGAAAACTGTACCCCATATGTGCTACCCCACTATAGCCTACAGTAGCTCTGTCATATAAATCTGACACGAATGCGATTCAACTTTTGTGTTGAGAACCAAGTTCTTCAACCCAACTGGGTGACCAAGGATCACGAAACAGACGAAAACAAATACCACTAGCGATGAAATTTAGAACGGGGCAACAACGTCGTGCATTTCGTAAGCACAGAATTAACACCATTCTGCCAAGTCGAGATGTACACGTAAGCAAACAAGTCTACTCCAAGCCAAGTACATCACCCAATCAAAAATAAGTAACGTGCCACATCTCATCTTTAGTAACCTCCCATATCTCCCAACTTTCCGAACCTAATCAGCCGAGCCTTACGAATCATCCCAACCAATCGTGGTGGTCCACAAAACCATAATCAGCACTCACAGCCTCCCTTACACATCAGCATACCGAACTTCAAACCTCTTTCAACCCCTCATCCTCCCACCCCCTCCACCCAACCCCCACCCCGCCATACAAATGCTATGCCACCCACGTTCTCAGCAGTTAGTCTTTCTCCCGACTAAATATTCGTCGCTCCACGCAAGATATAGACACCCTCCAACGCTCTATGTTCCTCCGTCCAAGTGCTCCGGTTTTTTATATTCGTCATCACCAATATCTCATATCCGCTACTAGGGGCTAGCAAATTCTGAAGCTAGCTTGCGCACCCGGTCCATACACTTCGGGTCCTTTATTTTGTTTTTTCTTATCTAAACCTACTCACTCCGAATGTACCCCCCTCGGCTTCCTCCCTACTTTCCCAACTTCCCTTCCCCCCCCCCCCCTCCCGTAGTAATCTCCGCATGACAAGCCGCCGCACGCTTAGCGACGGGAAGCCGCCGCCCAGGCAGTCGCTTTGGAGGACAGATTCGGTCAGTGCAGTGTCGCTACTTGTGTTTATGCCTGTCTTGATTCCACACCCGGCGGTAATCGTATTTTTGCCTTTGTGAATTGCACCTGCATATATCTCCCTCTGTTTCTGCCCTCCCCTCCATTTTCAAGGTTAGCCTGGCGTGTGAGGGAGCGATGGAGCTGTGCGAGGTGACCTTTGCGTACCCCTCGCTGGCCGACGTAAGTGCGCTCGCTCCTCTCCTTCGTCCGTCCATTGCTTTTTTCAACCGTCGAAAAGTTGTATTTCTTATATGCGGATTGACATGTTTCCCTTCTTGAATCAAAAGAAAAGCTCGACGCCAAAGAACATATTGTGTCATCTTAGACCCAATTAAATGTGTTTGATGTAAAATTTTAATCCATTTAGCTGCATTTGAAAAACTTACACTGCTATAATAGTAAGTATCTTGCTTTTTTGCTTTTTTTCTATTTCACACTCCGTCTCTCCCTCTTTCCCCTGCTCCTCAGACTGCTTTCTGTCCTTACCCTCCGTTTCCGCCTCCCATACCCCGGGCTCGCACTCCCTATCTTACCGCTCTCTTCCCTCCTTACCCTCCCCCTCCTTCTGCAGTATGAGACGCAGGTGGGGGAGCGAGGTACGCAGCTGTCGGGGGGCAGAAGCAGCGCGTGACAATCGCGCGGGCGATTTTGCGGAATCCGCAGGTGGTGCTGCTGGACGAGGCGACGTCGGCTTTGGACGCGAAGAGCGAGCAGGCGGTGCAGGCTGCGCATCATGCGCTCATGGGCGCACGCACCATGCTCATCGTCGCCCATCGCCTCTCCGTGCGCCGCGCGCACTTCATCGCTGTGCTGCAGCGAGGGCACGTCGTGCAGACCGGCTCGCACGAGGCTCCATTCACCGCGGCCTTTGGTGTGTGAGGGAGCGCTGGAGCTGCGCGAGGTGTCCTTTGCCAACCTGGCTTGTGTATCTCTATGGGCGTGAGTATCTTTGCCTCTGTTTTATTCGTAGCTGTCACACCGTCGCCTGTTTTATTCGTTGAGCTGTTCTCTTTGTTATTTCTTTTATTCTCTCACGTGTCACGATCTTTTGCTGTTGTCTCGACTGCAGGTTCCATAACGTTCGGCGTTTTTTTATGCAGGCACCAAACCGTTCCGTGTTTGAATTTGCTGGTGTCATCAAGTTCCGTCCGACCTCATCTGGTCGGCTTAGTTCCTAACTAGGCTTAAATGCAGATCTGGTTAGCTATGTGTCCATATGGACGTGCAATCCTGGAGGCCTGCGATTGTGATGATATGTGAATGTACGTGTTGAGTTTATAATGCATTATTGCAAATCTCCAATAAACGTCCCGACGTGCGTAATGCGATGCTGTGTTTCGTGTGCGATATGCGGTCGCTGCTCCGAATCGCTGGCCAATCAAATTACACCCATCACTGTTATTTGATTGGTCTATTTTGGCCAATCACCAACATTGACACCTGGCAAAATATCTAGAGAGTTATAACGCCACTTTGCCACGTGGCATATGAAACAAAAAAGTGACAAGAAGTGACGAGAACATCACTTCGCCAGGCACATTTCTGGGACTTTCTGTAAGAAATCTCGGAACTCCAACATGATGTTCCCGTGACTTCACTTTTTGGCACTTCTGACCATGACCGTTCCGTGACGCAAAACTTTCACGCAAAAGTCACGGAAATGTCACATTTCTGGTGCTTTCCGCCCTTGTCAAAACAGCGATGCCACTCCATTTCCCACCGCGTTCAACGACCCCATCATCAGTCCCGCCGGCCCCACGTGGCTCACTCGCGCGCCTGAATTTCATCCACGGGTTTTGAGGCGTCTAAAAACTCGTGCGCCCTGAATTTCACGGCCCGGGGACCGCCCGTGGCAGCAACCGCCGAGAGCTTTCGCAAGCAGTGCGAGCATGAGAAAGCAGAGCACTCGCGAGCAGCTTGGCTCTCGCGGCGGCGGAGCGCGAAACAGTGCCGCCTCGTGCCGGGGCCGCCGCGTTTGGCCCGAGTCAGCGCTGCGGAGCGGCGCAGTGCAGTGCGTTTGGCCAAGAGGCGGCGTTACAGCTGCGGAGCGCGGAGCGGCGCAGTGCAGCGCTCCACCCTGGCCTGCCGGCCCAATCCGCGGCGGCGGTGTAGGAAATCATGGAGCTACTAGTGGTAGAGCGATGGGTGCAGCGCGCGCTGACACTCGCATGGTGCCTCGCCGTCCTTCAACTTGCCAGGCCCGTCCTGGTCAACTCCCAGCCTAATATTGAGGCGTCGCAAGGTGAGACAATGGCCAGTGCAGTATCAGCAACCTAAAAGCACGACGACTTGAACCAACAGCAGCTACCCCAAAGATCATTTGCCCCTGCAAATGTTTTAAAGCCCCCTTTCTAGACTAATTTTCGAAACACGCCCTTGACGATTCTAGTGGATCATGTCCAAGAACAAGCCACGCACTCATCAAACTGGCTAGCATACCGTATTTTGACCATGATCTTATCTTACCGCCGGTAGCGGATCATGGTCAGAAGGGTATGGGTATCCAGCCAGAGGCATCACTCGCGTACCCTAGGAAATGCCACCTCCACCTCCAACTAAGCTTTCTGAAAACACTAGCATCCACACAATCCATAGTGTTTCTTTCTGACTTGGGAGGTAAAATGCAGACACGATCCGAGCACCTGCGGTTGGCCGTCGTGATGATGAACTGATGGCTCGGGACGGGACAAGCCATCTAGTCGGAAACAGAAACGGGAAGCAGTTTATGACTGCCTTGCTGTGGCGTTTCGTGACAAGTGCTGTTTACTTTTTGTAATTAGGTTTTGTGACAAGTGCCTTAAGTTTCTGCTAGGACACTAGGGGGGGACATTGGGTATCCTGACTGACTGACACCTGTTGGTAATCGTCATCACTTTTTTTTTCCAGAGCCATGATTGCGAGATGGCGTTTCTATGGGCTATGTGCCATTGCTTGCTGCGTGCGTTCCTCACGCCACTCCCCACACCCAGACACACCACCAAATCCCCGTTTCCTTCCTACTCCTCTCCTCCTACCTCCGCCACCCTCTGAGTGACACCCACATCTCCTTCTCCCCTCCCCATCCACTCCACCACCTCCACTCCACTCCACCAACCCGCAGTGCAATTTCTGCAGGACTGCCAGACGGCATGGGATGAGTTGTTGCCTGGTTGGGGGGGCGCCCATCCGGACTGCAGCAGTGCACAGGGCATCACATGTGACAGCAACGGGATGATCTTGGAGATGTGAGATTCAATCCGCACTCACTATGATGGCAATGCGCTCGTGGAGGGTGGTTGGGTTGCTTCAGTGTGCGCATGCAATGCAGTGACCAGCATGATGTTGTGTGCTAGGGGCATAGGCCGCGCCGCACCACGAGTCATTCATTTTTCGTGAAACCAAGCGGTGGCATAATTGGGTACATGTGGGTACTGTGCTGTGCTGTGCTCTTACGTGCAGGAGTCTACCTGAGCTCAGTCTAAGCGGGTCCATCCCGGATTCCATCAGCGCCCTCCGAGAGCTCTCTCTTCTGTACGTTCCCAAAGGCCCAATCCAAATGCATTGTGCACATGGAGGTTTGGAGAGCAGGTTAGTTCAGGTAATTCGTGTCTTACGCTGATCACATTCAGTGAGACGGACCGTGCGAGAGGAAACAGCAACCATTAATTGGCTGCAGCAGAGGGAGGTGGAGGAGGGGAAGGGCGTTGGGTAGGTTGGGTTGGGAGAGTGAAAGGCAGAGGGTAGGGCCGTGTACCAGGGCGCACAGGGCTTAGTTAGTGGGTATAGGGCTTGGTCAGGGCGCACAGGGCTTAGTCAGGGCGCACAAGGCTTAGTCAGGGCGCAGAAGGCTTAGTCAGGGCGCACAAGGCTTAGTCAGGGCGCACAAGGCTTAGTCAGGGCGCACAAGGCTTAGTCAGGGCGCACAAGGCTTAGTCAGGGCGCACAAGGCTTAGTCAGGGCGCACAACGCTTAGTCAGGGCGCACAACGCTTAGTCAGGGCGCACAACGCTTAGTCAGGGCGCACAAGGCTTAGTCAGGGCGCACAGCGACGCACAGGGATGAGCTGAGGGCGCACGAGTCGTAGCTGAGAGCATGGAGGTGGTCGATGCAAAGACGCAGACTGGCCTGGATTGTGTGGCGTAGGAGCTAGGAGACGCTGGTCGGTAGGTAGGAGGGTGGCGGTGCTAAGGGTAGAAGGTAACACGCTGATAGCTGTGAGGCGTTCTCTGGAAAGCGGACACTGGGGATATGACAAGAGGAAGAGGGAGGAGAAATGCAGGAAAGGCAACCTGAAATTGCTGTGAGGAAGGAAGGAGCCCACGGAGGAACTTCCCTATGTTGCCCACGGAGGGACATGTTGCCGTGGATGTGGCTCTGGCTGGATAGATACCAGGTCGTTGTAGAGTTGAAAACCATGTAAAGAGAACCCTTGGAGAGGATTATGAGGGCAGTGCAGGTAGGGAAGGGTGTCTAAAATTTGGACTAAGATACCTGGCTGGCTGGCTCAATACCCTCTGAATTGAGCATCCTTGCGAACGTGGATACATGTAAGTGACCCCCGCATGGTCTGTGCTTGGCTTGGCTGTGCTCTCATCTCTTCCCTCCCCTCCACCATATTTCCTCTTTTTAGTGATACTCCTGATTCATGTTCATTCGTGTTCATTGTCACAGATATCTTATAAAAAATTGGTGCACTGCCACAATCCCCACTACAATCGGCGTCCTCACAAACCTGCAGCAACTGTAAGAAGGCTCAGCAGGTATTGAACCCGAAATGGATCGCGTCAAACCTGCTCGAAGTCACGGGCATAGTCGAACAAACCAAACCAGTGTGGGTTGGTTCGGGTTGAATTAGGCTTGAGCAAGGTGGCGAACACCTGTTCGGTTCGCCTTGAACAAAATGTTCGTGACGAACGTGTTCGGTGTTCGCACGAACGCGTTTGTGTTCGACACGGGGCGTTGACGAACACTAAGGTGTTCGTCGACGAATTGACCCGCGACTAATTTTTAGGTCGTGGGTCCTTGTGTTTGGGCTCATTTTTTTAGCTCAAACTAGTCGCTACCTATGCGCCAGCCCCCTAGCGCCCACTATAGCCCGTCCCTAGGAGAAATGGGACCCACATAACTACATCTTAGATACGTTTTGTGGCCATTACCTATTACTAGAATGGATTTACCATGACGAACGTGTACACTAGAACACCCTAACCCCCCTACCCATCATCTGGTAGGGCCAAATTCTGTGTTTGCCATGTGTGTGTGACTGTAGTGAATGTTACCCTGGGGGCGAACGCGAACGTGTTTGCCACGAACGCGAACGTGTTTGCCACGAACACGTTCGTGTTCGCCTCTGTCATTTAGGTGTTCGCCTTCACAGGCGAACACCGAACACCAGCTCGGTTCGCCGAACGGCTGTGTTCGAGCAGGGGCAACATGAACGTGTTCGTGTTCGCCCCTTGCTCTAGCGTAGGTTGAACCACTCGGAACTGCTTACGGTTTGTTGTTCAAGTCTGAATCAGTTTTGAATCAAGTACGAGCCTGAATCAGTGCTAGTGCAGCTCGGCTCGAACCAGTCCAAGTTCGGTTACCTGATGAGTTTTTTTTTTTTTTTTCAAGCAAACGTCACGTCTCTCCTCACTTCTCCTGTCCCCTTCTATTCTCTGCTATTGTTAGCACAGCACGCATCTCACCGACAAAGTTCCTCACATGACCCACCCTTCATGCATTTTCATGCATTTTCGTGCATTTTCTCCTCCCAGTATATTGCCTGCTACTATCCGCTGCTCGTTTTCATTCGAGTCCTTCCACCTCACAACCTTGCACTCTTGTCTCTTCCCTCTCTTCCCCTTTTTTTAGGCACAATGCATTCTCGATGTTGAGCTAGAGGAGGCGTAGAAACAATGTGGGCGTTTTGGCAAGCTAGGTGTACACACCAGGAAATTGATACGAGGTAGGTGACACATACTGCTGTGTCTCTCTCCAGACATGCACAAACAGCAAACTGAGTCAGACGTCTCACTTTGTGCCGGTTGGTTATGCCAAGTTTCTCTCCTCTTCACCTCTTACCTCTGCTCTCAATCTCTCATCCCCTCGTTCCTCCTTTTCTGCCCTCCTTGTGCTCCCTTTCGTCTTCAGCTCCCACCCCTTTGCCAAACGTTTCCTTATCCAGGCTGCCCCTACCCAGATATATCTACTTCAGTTTCTCTTCACTGATTTCTTTAGTGCTGGGAAAACAAGAAGCATACAAGTGAAAAGCTAATGAAGAGTTTCCCCCAGAAATATTCTTCTATTCAGCTGCCTTCCTTCTACTCACACCCGTGCGTCTTAAGACCTGGCTGTGGAATTTCCTTTATGATGTGTCACATCACGCTCAGCCTTGGGTGTGGAATGGCTTTTCCCCGAACAGCTGGTATTTAGTCATCCCATCCCATCCCACTGCCATACTGCTCAGCTTCTCAGAACCAACCAACCAACCAACCTCTTTGGGAATCTGCCAACCAACCTCCTCAATTTCTTCCCAACAACCTTCCTCGAGATTTGCCAGCCACCCTGCCTCTCACCAATCTGCATACATGACAGGACAGTACAGTGCACACACAATCAGCAACTCGCCAACAAGAACACTACACAAACTGTTGCTCAACTTCTTACCTTAGCTGCTGTGCAGATTGAGCTAGGCCTCTCGGCGTAGCTCTATTAGCGCGACAGTAAGGGAGAGTGAAGCCACACTGCTCTTTCACCTTGAACCTCTCCCAACATCATCCTTCTTTTTTGCCTCATTCCTTCCCTTTCCTTTTTCCTATCTTGTTTCTGCCTCCCTCCTCCGCTCTCCGATGGGCTCTTCCCCATGCCCATTCTGTACGTGGCTGACACGCCTTTGACATGCCCAATAACACCTCTCTCCTCATTTTACCTGCCCCCATCCATCCCCTGCCATTGTCTTCACACATCCAATGCCACAGCTACTGTCGTTCATCGTGCTGCCTTTCATGTCTCTGTTGCATAGGGATTTCGTCTCCTAATAGATTCGCTTGCTCCTATCCCCAGCTCGTTTCCATGCACACTTGAACCTCCTGTATCTGCCTATATTCACCGCATATCCATTCATACTCGACGTTGCAGAATGCTGTCTGTAAATCAGCTCAATGGAAAAATTCCTGCGGAAATCAGCAACCTTTCCAAACTGTATTATCTGTAAGCCCCCAGCAAGGCAAGGCCTTTGTTTGGCTGTATTCCTGTGCTCTCCTTTTTTCTCTTCTTTGTGATGCAGAATTTGACCCATGCTCTCCATTGACCCCTCGTGCATCTTATCCTCTTGCGTCAGCTCCGCTGCTCAGCACAACACCATCCTCTCTTTTGCAGTATGCTGTGGTCTTGCTATTAATAGTGTGTGTGGGACTGGACTGGACTCGTGATCGTGCATTGCATTGTTAAAGTGATTTGAGGGTCTGGAATGACCACATCCTGCAGTGTCTCTCTGCAGTCATGCACAAACAGCGGACTGAGACTGACACGACTCTGGATAACACCCCTGTGCCGGTTGGTACAGGAGAGTGAAGCCACACTGCTGTGTAGAGCTGATGGTTCGAGTGCTTGCTGGGCTCAGAATTTGGGCAATTAGCAAGGCACTCTTTCAAACCATGTTTGAGTGCTAGGCCTTTCTGATCCATTTCGTCCTTGCTTCTTGCCCTCCTAATTGCTCTTGTCCATTTCGTCCTTGCTTCTTGCCTCTGTATGTTTTGTAAAATAATAATGGCGTGTGGTTCTTCCATTCATACTCCAGACTTCGTCCCTTTCCAGTCCTTTCACCTATGATCCTTTGCATTTTTCTGAACAACCTTCCCTTTCTCCTTAGTCTTTCCCTTTCCATTTGTTCCTATCCAGTTTTCGCGTCTCTTCTGCCCTCTCCCATGCTCTCTTTCCCGTGGCCATTCTATACGTGGGTGACATACCGTGGAACAGACGCAAAGCAAGTCTTTCAACACTTCTCCTGCCCCATCTATCCCCTGCCTTTATCAACACACCATGTCCACCGCGCTGCCTTTGTTGCACTTTTCAGGAGCTTCGCCTTTCAATGGAGTTGCTTGCTTTTATTTGTTGCTAATTTCTAAGCAAACTAGTCATTGCTAATTTCTATTAGCTAATTGCTTCCCATGTCCACCGCATGCCCATTCATGCCCATTATCGTGGGAGAGATCTTTCTAGCAATCAACTCACTGGCACAATTCCCACTGCAGCAATAGGCAACCTTCTAAACCTGAATTACCTGTAAACCCTGTTTCTTGGCTGTGTTCCCCCTTCTGCTTTTCTCCTCCACGATTTTATATCCACTTGATGTTTCTCTTCCACTTTGTGTCATTTAATCTTTAGGTGAGCTGAAATCTCCAATTGGTGAGATTAGCTGAAGTATTTGAACCCTAATTGGAATGCTGAGCTTTCAGTTGATCACACCGGTTCAGGTTGAAGTCCTGGCCTTTCATACCTTTACCCGCTTTCATGCACTCTTCAGCTCCCTGTATGCATGCCGATCCGTGTTCATTGTTGCAGATACCTTCAGTACAATCACCTCACTGGCTCAATCCCCACTGGAATCGGAATCCTTCAAAGCTGATACACCTGTAAGTAGGCACGAGCAAGTACCGAACCTGAACCGGTGTCAGTCGAACCTTGTTGAACTGACAGCCGTAGACGAACCGAAATACTTTGGTTCGGGTCGAACCAGCCAAAGAACTCATGGTTTGATGCTGGGTGGAAAGAAAAATGGTTGTCCAGGAAAATTGTTCCTTTCTATCTTTTGGAAGATAAGCGTGGTTCTTTAACTATAATTCGCAGCGTACAATTTTTTGCTGCATTTTATTGTGGTACGCAAATTCAATACAATGTTTTGTCCAACTAAGTTCTGCCCCTTCTGTTCCCTGCCATTGTTTGTACACATTTCGCGAACAATGTCCATCGTCGTGCATCCTTTCATGCCTCTGTTACATTCAGGAAATTTTCCCCCACTGGTGTTGCTTTTTCCTATCGCTGCTTTTTTCTATGCAATCTTTAACATCTCATATCTACCTCATCAATGCCCATTCGTTTTGATTGTCGCAGATATCTATATCACAATCAGTTCACTGGCTCAATCCCTACTGCAATTGGCATGCTTATAGACCTAAAACGCCTGTAAGTATGTACGAGCAAGTACCGAACCCAAACCGGTACTTTTCGAGCCTTGTCGAACTAGCGGCATAGAGAAGAACATACCTCCATAGGGAAGGGGGCGTGGAGGCATGAGAGAGATGGCAGGCGTATTTGCAAGATTGCGAATGTGGCTCTCAATGACGCTATTATCCAGTATCCATGTAAGAACCTGATGTAGAATTTTCACTCCACTCCTTTCATTTCCTTTGTCACTAACGAGACTTAGCCTCTCCTCTTCCCTTCCATATGCTCAGTTCCCTGTGCAATTTATCGCATGCCTTGGCTTGGGGCCAATAAAGAACACGTCTCTCCTCAACCCTCCCAAGCCCTTCTATCCCCTGCCATTTTCGGCGCACGACCCACAAACAATGTCAATCGCGCAGCCTTTCATGCCTCTGTTGCATTTTTAGAGATTTCGCCTCCCAGTATATTGCTTGCTACTATCCGCTGCTCGTTTCCATGCAATCTCAGCTCCCTGTGTCTACCACGTGCGTGCCCATTCGTGTTGATCGTCGCAGAAATATTGATAGCAATCAGCTAAATGGCTCAATCCCCGCTACAATCGGCATTCTTACAAACCTAGTAACCCTATAAGTATGCATGAGCAAGTACCGAGCCCAAACTGGTCCGGTTCGAATCTAAGCAAATTGGCGGTTGAATCAGCGGAACCACTTAGTTCCGGATCGAGCCAGCCTAAACAGCTCATGGTTCGATGTTCAAGCCCTAAAATTCGCAACCTGGATGGGTTCGAGTCACACAGGTGTAGCTCAATGCATGTAGCTCGTGTTTCCCTGAACCTCTGTACCTTACCAAGCGTACGCCCCCTAATGCCCCAAAATCAGTACGACACACACGCAAACAGAGCATTTTTACTGGAGATGTGGAAGGTGAGCTCTAAATTTCTTTTAATGGGACCCGCTGGCTTGGTCCCCAGCTTTTAGGGTTGACCAGGGTGTAGATAGCATAGGGATTTGCATTTTAGGAGGTAGAGATTTCTTGCTTTAGAAGGCCTTGTCTGGCTCATTTTGCTTTCATTGGGTGGGCACCGAGAAGGCTGTCTAGGAAATTCCGTATCAGCCGAAACACGTTTATCTCTGTGTTTTAACCACTGCATAGTGAAGAGCTCCGTTGTACAGATATCTCCGTGATCTCTGCTTTTGTTTTTCCTACGTTAAACCTTCTTCTAATCTGCTGCCTGCTGGAGAATGACTGACAGAAGGTCCCTAATTGGTTTGAGAGGCAAACCAGGTCCCAAAGAGCACGTATCTCCTCGCTTCTCCTACCCCCTTCTACCCTCTGCCAAATGTCAGCACACATCCCACAGACAAAGCCGTGCTGCATTTCATGCTTCTGTTGCATTTTCAGGGGTCTCGTTGCTATGCAAATTTGAGCCTCCCATGTCTACCACATGCCCATTCATGCTCATCCTGGCAGAGGTCTTTCTGACAATCGACTCACTGGTGCAATTCCCACTGTAATAGGCAACCTTTTCTATCTGCAATACCTGTACGCCCTTTTACTAGGCCGTGTTTCCCTTCTGCCTGTCTCTTCCATGATTTTCCCTCCACATGATGAGTGTATGTAAACTACATAGCTTGGGTACGGTCTGTAAGAACTTGAGGTAGAATAGAGTCCATGCAAACTTGAGCTTCATGCATCTACCGCATGCCCTCTCATGCTCATCGTGACAGGTCACTTTCTGAAAACCGGCTCAGTGGCACAATTCCTGCTACAATCAGCAACCTTCCAGTGCTGAGTTATCTGTATGCCTTTGCCTGGCTGTACTCCAGCTTCTTCTTCCCTCTCCATCAGCTTTATTGACCACCACCCTCTCCTTAGGTGTATCATGTGGTCTTGGTAATAGTAGTGCCACATGCAACTGGAGTCGTGTGATTGTGGATTTCAAGGTACAAGTGATCTGAGGGTTCTAGTCTGGACCCTTGCTCTCCATTGACCCCTTGTCATTCTTATCCCCTTCTTCTATCTTAATTTCCCTGCCTCTTCCCTGCAGTGGTCTCTGCCGCAACTACCTCACAGGCCCCCTTGTCAATCTCCTCCCATTCTCCCAAGCGGACTTGACCGACAACTTCCTGTCGGGTGTTGTGTCTGCACCAGACTGCCGGCGACTCAACATCGCAGCCAACTGCTTCTCACCAAACAAAGCATGCCGCCCTGCCATGCAGCGGCTTGCAGCACAGTGCATGGCATTCTGTGGCATCTATCCAACCGCTTCTGCCTGTGGTGGTCACGGCGTGTGCTACCCAGATGGGCCTAGTTTGGTGCCAACGTGCCTGTGTGATGCGGGATCATTGCAGCTTGGAGGAATCACCTGTATTTCAGGAGGTGACAAAAATTGTTATGCTTTCCAAATGGCAAAGCACAGGCTTTGTGTACGTCACGTTCTTTGTGCTCCTAGAATCATGCACTTTAACAGACACCTTCTCTAATTTCTGGTTTGCACACATTGGTTATCCCATGCTTTGCTTCACTTTCCCCGGGTTGTTCGCGGTTGTTGTTGGATTTCAGCTACCACACACACAAAAACTCCTTAGGCAGGCACAGACCCCATATCAGTAGATTCCACCTCCGTAGCATTGACCACCCGATTTGGTCTGGACAGCTTAGCTCACACATTCTATTTCTTCACCACTCCCACCCTTCCCCGTGCATTGCTGCCCTTTTGCAACTCCACAGGCTTCCAAGGAAACATTCTCCCGCCATTCACGGTTCTCACCAAGGGCACGCAGCAGGAAGACGGTGGGGAAGTTCATGGCAAAACCAGTGACCCTCTTGATGTACCCGCCTGGTGTGACCTCAGCATGTGGCTTTGGTTTGGCATTCAGAGTCAACTTCACCTTCGCTCTCATGCTACAGTCTGGTACTGCAAGTTCCAGCGGCTTTGCATTTGTAATCGCGGCGAAGCCCAAGGCGGGGAAACCTGGTGGTGTGGGCTATAGTGGAGTAGGACCTCGGAGCATAGCCGTTGTCTTTGACACGCTCCAGAATGATGCGGGCGAGCAGCACGTGGGGCTGAGCATCAACAGTGCAGAAGAACTCTTGGTCAAGGAGGTGTCTCCATTCACACTGACATACGGCGACTCATACAAGGCATGGGTGGACTATGGGCCTGGGGATCCCAGCACCATTCTTGTGTTCCTGGCGAATTCAAAGACGAAACCAGAGGAGCTGCTGCTAAAGGGGAGCGTGTCGCTGTGTGCGGTGCTGCAGCCGGGAGTGAAGCAGTCAGCGTTCTCGTTTGGCTTTGTGGCGTCCACTACTGTAAAGCCCTTCCAACTGCGTGACATCCTCTTCTCCTCTGTGCAAACAGGCAAGGTTATTTTGAGGCAAGTGGGGTGATGTTAACTTCCTTGATGGGTGGTAGGGGGGGAGGAGTAGTGGTGGTGGTGGACGTGGTTGTTTGAGTTCTAACTTTTGTCTCACTTAAAGTCCTAGCAACCATTGATAATCCATCTCATTTGCACGGTTAGTTCGTTCTGTAGTCATACATTCCTCAGAAACTTAATCAATTCGGTGTCAAACCGAACTTCAAAACCGAACCAATTCGGTTTATCACCTGGCCAGTTTGTGTCAAACATACATGACATAGTCTGTGTAGGCTGTAGTGGGGTAGACCATATGGGGTACAACACTGCTAGGTTTCCCTACTTGTACCCATCTCCTTGCTAGTTCAGTCATTCCTCTTTCTTCACATGGTATAGAGCGGGTTCCCTAGTGGGACCGTTTCTTCCTAAGGGCCCACCACCTAATTTTTTTTTTCCTACCCTGCCCGAAGTGCGCTTCGCGCTCTGACCTGCCCTACCCTTTCGCGGTCCCTTAGCGGCCCCTTCCCGGCCCCTTCGCGGCCCCTTCGCGGCCCCTTAGCGGCCCCTTCGCGGCCCCGCCCCGTTGCCCGCCGCGGCCCCGCCCCGTCGCCAGTCGCGGCCCCGCCCCGTCGCCACCCGGGTGTCGCCCCTGCCTCGTCGCGACGGGACCCGCGCGTCGCCCCCGCCTCGTCGCGACGCCCCTGCGGGACCCGCGAGGCACAGCTCCTGCGCGTCGCGACGCCCCAACAGGACCCGGGCGTCGCCCCCGCTCGTCGCGACGCCCCTTCGGGACCCGCGCGGCGTCGCCCCTGCCCGCCGCGGTGCCCTGCCCTAACCCGCGCCCGACCTTCGGACGGCCGCCCCTGCCCCCGCCCCTTGCAGCAGCTGCCCCTGCAGCAGCCGCCCCTACAGCAGCCGCCCCTGGCCCCTGGAGCAGCCGCACCTGCAGCAGCCGCCCCTGGCCACTGGACCAGCCGCCCCTACAGCAGCCGCTTCTGGCCCCTGGGGCAGCCGCCCCTGCAGCAGCCGCCCCTGGCCCCTGGAGCAACCGCCTCTGCAGCAGCCGCCCCTGGCCCCTGGAGCAGCCGCCCCTGCAGCTGCCGCGGAGCCCTTGCCCTGCAGTGGTAGCGGCCTCGCCGTTACCGCCGTCGTACGCCTGCCCTTCTCGCCACTGGTGAGCCCTGCCCGTACTGCTGTTACTGCTGCTCCTGCTGCTACTGCTCTTTCTACTGCTACTGCTGCTCCTGGCGTGGCCAGATGCAGCTCCAGCGCCATCCGCGTGAGTCCCTCACGCCCCAACAGCTTTGTGAGTGGTACGCTAGTTGGGGTTGTAGGGGTGGCCGCGCTGCTACTACTGCTACTGCTGCTAATGGTGCTACTGCGGCTACTACTGCTACTGCTGCTACTGCTGCTACTGCAGCTACTACTGCTACTGCTACTCCTGGCGGTGGCCAGCTGCAGCTCCAGCGACGTTCGCGTGAGTCCCTCCCGCCCCAGCTGCTTCGTGAGTGGTACGCTAGTTGGGGTTGTCGGGGTGGCCGTAGTGAGAGTCGTCCTGGAGTGAGTAGTTCGGGAGCTTCTTGTAGTGGCCAGGTGCAGCTGCAGCGTCGTCCGCGCGAGACCCACTCTCCCCAGCAGCTTCGCGAGTGGTACGCTCAGAGTAGATGGTCACTGAGTAGTGCTCGCTGCCCGTACGTCATTCGCACGGGTGTCCGAACTGGCCAGCCTTGCGGGACTCCAGGTCACACAGAGTCCCGCTGCTTCGCCCGTCTGAGCGACGCTTGGCGTACAGAGTTTGGCGACGACGCTGAGCTCCCCTCCTGACTGGAGCTGCTTAGGCAGAGGGTAGATATCTTTGCTCTTGACTATGATGCTCTTCTCACTGCAATGTATGCATTGTCTACTAGTGCTGAGGGTGCCTGTCACGTGTGTATGCCGCCTGACCCCGGTATCCAGTCTGCTGCTCTAGGTGCTGGTAAGGCTGCTGCTCTAGGTGCTCGTGCGTCTCCTGCTCCAGGTGTCGGTGACGCTGCTGCTCTAGGTGCTAGTGGGTCTCCTGCTCCAGGTGCTGGTGAGTCTGCTCTCTCTGGTGCTACGCCTGCTGCAGTCTTGCACAGCTTCACCCTTGACTCGGGTGCTTCCCGCTCCTTCTTTCGAGACCGCACCACCCTCACGCCGCTTAGTCGGCCGGTTGCAGTCTCCCTGGCAGACCCCTCTAGGAGTCCTGTCCTTGCTCACTACTCCACTGTCCTACCGTGTCCGGCGGCCCCGTCTGGCTCCCTGTCAGGTCTTCATCTCCCCTCGTTCTCTATGAACTTGGTGAGTGGTGCTGACCTGCAGGATGGAGGGGTTGACCAGTTCACTCCTGCGAGTCAGCAAGTGACCCACTGCACGTGTGCTCGGACGGGCCGACACTTGGCCACGTTTACGCGTCAGCCGGGGTCGAGCCTGTACACACTGACGACTGAGTCTCCTTCGGTTACTGCGTCTAGTCAGGTTGCTGCGTCGGGTCAGGTGTCTGCTGCAGCGTCTCGGTCTGGTCCTGAGTCTGCCCCCTGCTCGTGTCGCCTCCTGTCCCACCAGACTCTCCTCTGGCACCACCGCTTTGGTCACCCCTCCCTGTCTCGTCTCCGAGGCATGGCCTCCCGTGTCCTTGTCTCTGGTCTCCCCAGGTCCCTCCCTTCCCTTCCTCCGGGGCCTGCCCCTACCTGCGTTCCCTGCGTCGAGGGACGGCAGCGCGCCGCTCCTCACTCCTCCGAGTTTCCTCCGACAGAGGCTCCGCTGCAGACTCTCCACATGGATGTGTGGGGCCCCGCCCGCGTCCGTGGACAGGGTCACGAGCGTACTTCCTGCTGGTGGTTGACGACTACTCGCGTTACACCACAGTCTTCCCCTTGCGCCGCAAGGGTGAGGTCACTGAGGTGTTGATCGATTGGATCCGCGCTGCTCGTCTCCAGCTCAGAGAGAGTTTCGGCTCGGGCTTTCCTGTTCTGCGTCTGTACTCCGACAGAGGTGGAGAGTTTTCCTCCGACCTTGTGCGAGCCTTCTGTCGTGCGGAGGGCATCCGCCAGACGTTCACGCTTCCGGCCTCTCCACAGCAAAATGGGATTGCTGAGCCGCATTGGCATGGTCATGGACGTCGCGCGTACGTCCATGATCCATGCGGCTGCTCCCCATTTTCTGTGGCCGTTCGCGGTTCAGTACGCGGCGCATCAGATCAACCTTCAGCCCCGGGTCTCCATGCCGGAGACCTCCCCTGCTCTGCGGTGGACGGGGAAGGTTGGCGATGCGTCTGCGTTCCGTGTCTGGGGATCTCGAGCTTTCGTCCGCAACTTGTCTGCGCACAAGCTGTCCTCCCGTGCTGTTCCCTGCGTCTTCCTTGGCTTCCCCCCTGACGCGCCTCGTTGGCAGTTTTACCACCCCACCTCGCGCCGTGTTCTGTCCTCTCAGGACGTCACGTTTGACGAGTCGGTTTACTACTACCGTCTCTTCCCCTACCGCACTGCTCCCCTTCCCCCCCCGCCGCTCTTCCTCGCACTTCCTCCCCCCCGCCGCTCTTCCTCGCTCTTCCCCCCCCGGTAGACCCCCTCCCCCCCCAGGGTCCTGCTCCCTCAGGTTTGTCCCAGGTAGACGCGGTCGAGCCTGTCGAGGTAGCTGTTGACTCTGGTGCTGCTAGGGGTGCTGAGCCTGCGGGTGCCGGGTCTGGGGGTGCTGAGCCTGAGCGTGCGGAGCCTGGGGGTGCTGAGTCTGGGGGTGCTGAGCCTGGGGGTGCTGAGTCTGGGGGTGCTGAGCCTGGGGTTGCTGAGTCTGGGGGTGCGGAGCCTGAGGGTGCTGGGCCTACGCGTGTGGAGTCTGGTGGTGCTGGGCCTGGAGGTCCTTCCGGTGCTTCGTCCCGGCGGGAGCCACTCTCTCCGCAGGAGCTGCGCGAGTGGTTTTCTAGGCGCTGGCGCCGTGCTGCTGGAGCTGGTGGTGCTTCCGGCGCTGGAGGTTCTGCTGCGGCTGGAGGTCCTTCTGCTGCTGGGGCTGCTGGGGGTTCTGGAGCCACGGGTCCCGGAGGTGCTCGTACT